ATGCTCTGAGATTTTTGTGGTTCAGTCGGTGGGCTTTGAAGGAAGAACACGTTGGAAGGACAACCATCATCGAAAGCCGGTGACAGGGGGCAATAGTTGTTGGTGGTCGGCGATGGTAGATGGGGTTAGAGGCGATGGAGGAAGAAGATGCGAGGTGGGAGAAAACATGAACGAGGGATTTGGGAAGTGGGGTTAGATTAGGTTTAGGATTGTTTTTAACTTTTTTAATATTTAATTTATATATTAGTAAAAATAAAATAAATCATTAATATAAAATTATATAAGATGAGGGCAAAGTAGTCTTTTTACATCTGATAAGGACCAAGCGTGCAACAAAAATATAAAATAGGGACAGTCCAAGTTAAAAAAAAAAAAGCTGTTATGGACCAAACACGGAGATTACCCTAAACCATAGCGACCATCCGTGTAATTTACCCTTAAAGAAACATATTTTTTTTTTTGAACAAAACGTTAAAAAAATATTAGCGAAAAAAATATAAAAGAAAAACATTAAACAATATATTCAAACAAAACATTTAAAATATCTAAATCCTAAAATATATAAATAAATTAAGTAAAAAAAATAATAAATAATAGAGAAAATTACATAAATGGTCACTGACAGGAACAAATTACAAAAATGGTCCCTATTCTGGAAGGATAAATATGTCATTTTATATGGAACCTAACTGAAAAAGTTAACGTCGTTAGCCCAAAAGACCGTTTCTCTAAGATTTAGAAACCAGAGGGACCATCTATGTAAAGAATTCATCAATCATAATTGGTTGATTTTGTCAACCATGACTATTTGTGTAATTTTGTCTTTTTCAAATAATAAAATTTAAATTAGAAAATCTCAACAATTTAAATAGGCTCAATCAAACAAAGAATTTTTAACAGTGTCAATCGAAACTGATAAAAAATAAAAGTATGAATGGGTGAAATAGCAATGCCTGGAAGGGCTCCACATATATCAACTGAATTGAAGAAGACAATGATACGAAGGACAGCAAACATTCATTGCTAGCACTAACAAGTTGTTGAACTTTTTTGAAAAAACATCCTGTACTTCTTCAAGTACTCTTCTTCCGAAATAGATATACTAACTCTTTTTATATGGAATCATGTAAAAGTTTTTTTATGACATTCTATATTAAACACTTTACCTGTAAAAGTTTAAATTTTGTACGAATTCATCACGTGATTTACGACTATTGGCAAATGAATAAATTATGTTTTCTAGCAATGTTATAAAACGTGGGTCTAACACTGCTAGTTGAACAGGTTCCACCATGACCCAGTGAAAAGAATGGGTCAATCATCAATGGGTTTTTGTTTATTTCTTACTCGGATTAAACCGCCCAGTTGAACTAGTGACCCGGAAACGCTAAAAATCCTTGCTGAAACAAAAAATTGGTAAAATCTTAATTTAGGGACATAGTTCATTTCGTTACTTCAACTGTAAATAAAATATCAATTTAGTGCACTCCTTGTTGAAAAAGTTTTGTTTTTTGTGTAGTTTTATGTATAAATCTCGAAGCGTACAAAACAATTTGATTTGACTTGGACCAAAATTCTAGTCAAAGCTCAAGTACAGTAAGTCAAACAATTCATGAAGCAGTACTACTCCTTATGGTTTTGTATTTCCTAAAATTCTACTGATAGAGCCGACTCTTAAGATCCCATAAGTTAGAAAATTGTTTTGTATTTCCTTATTTTATTGTATTGTTGTATTGTAAATTGATATCAATATACTTGTCACCAAGATACAATGACTTTTACAAAATCTTATTGTGGTATCAGCCTAATTTCTTCGTGGCCTCCTCTTTCTTTTTCATCTTCCTTGATCTCCATAGCCGTTGGAACTGTATCTGTCAACTCCCTTCTTCCTCTTGCTACAATTCTTCACATGCTTACCATTAAGCTTTTGTCTTCCAACTATCTACTACAGCGATGACAGATGTTGCAGCTTCTTGGATATCAAAATCTTGTTGGTTATATTGATGGGTCTATCCTTGCTCCACCAGCCACCATTGTTACCAACAATGTCTCTTCTCTAAACGCTGCATATGTGTAATGCCATACCTTATGATCTAATGATGTAAACACTCTACACGCTATCTATCAGTGCCAGCGTCTACACGCTGACATTTTCAGTGTATCACGACTATCACCGTTAAATTAATAGATTCTATCACTACAAAAAATATGCCAATTAGTCACCAAAACAAAATGGTCACTAACAATAGAATGAGTCGTCACTAAATGATTTAGTGACCAAAATTTCGGTCGTCACTTTTCGTCACTATAGGTCCGTCACAAAACCGATTTAGTGACCGAATATAAATATGGTCATCAAACAGTGACTAAAATATAGTCGTCACTAAATCTATGAGGACCTGCTTCGTCACTAAATGTTGTCACTAATCAATGAAAGTCATCACTATTTTATCTACTTATTAACCAATAAAAATCGTCCTATTAGTCACCATAGAAAGTGGTAACTAATTTATCTAATTAGTGACTATAACATGTCGTCACTGATTTAGCCTTTTAGACAAAAAAAAAAAGGTCAATAACTAAAAAATTATTGAAATATTAAATTTCATTTTCAAAATGAAATATAATAATATCCAATTAGACAAAAGAAAAGGCAAATGCTATAAATGTTTATAATACAACAACAATAACCAAATATATCTTCATATAAGAACGGATGATTTCCCACCTAAATTATACATGAAATTATAGTGCTGCTAACACAACAAAAGCAAAATAGAAGTAATCAAATGAAAAGTTCCATTTGTTGGGCATCTTTATGGAATACTTTTCAGACTCCTGCAAAATGCAATGATAAAATGGTTATTTACCAAATACAATGGTTAAATGGTCATTCATTAAATAGAGGGGTAAAATAGTCATGTACTCAAAGGAGAGTAGGATATTGTTTCTTTTGTTGGTAAGCATTGTTTTTAAATAGAATGATAAAATGATCATTTTCTCAAACAAAAGTAAGATACTATTTCTTTTGTGAGTAAGCATTGTTTCTAAATAGAAGGGTTAAAGTGTCATTTAATCTAACAAAAGTAAGATATTGTTTCCTTGTTAGCAAGAATCATTTTTAAATAGAAAGGTAAAACGATCATTAATCAAAGAGAAGGATAAAATGACCATTTACTCAAGCAAGAGTTAGATACTACTTCTTTGTTAACAAGCATCATTTCTAAATAGATGGGTAAAATGGTCATATTATATGGTAAGCTTATTTATGTAGGGTCTCTTTTTTACTTTATACAAAAAGTCAAGGAAAAGAAAAAGGTAAAATGGTCATATTATATGGTAGTAGGAATGGATGGCTGTTACTTTCATATAAGGCAAGATATTATAGATCATAACAATTTTACTTGAGATGCCAGTTGGATATAACACAAGTAAGGTGCTATACCTACACTCACACAACCAAAAGTTATAATTTTTATAAAAGAGAGTAGAAAAATAATGACAACTAAATTCTTGAACCAAATTGACCAAAGAATTAAGGTCAAACCTGAGCTATAAAAGCCAGTATGGAGTAGAACCAAATGCCTCTTTTGTCCCAAAGAAAGAGTATCTAATAATCTAATTATCAACACCATAAATAATATATGGTTACAAAATAATGAAATCATTTTTTTTTCCATTTCTTCAAGCTCAAATAATTTTTTACCTCAGTGATACTCCAACTAACAACCAAAGAGCTAACAATAAGATGTGTTTGAACTTGTCACAATCAAGTTTTTTTATCTCAGTAAAACTGTAATAAAACTGAAAATTATTAACTAAAAGGAAGAAAGCTCTAACCTCAGGAAAACTATATACAATCTTGAACTTGTTTGAGGCAATGTTGCTGAAATTGGGCATCTTACCAAGCCTTTTTCATGCCAAAAACAACATAAAAATAATAAATTTATACTTTCTTGAAATTTAAATGGTGGAAATGAAATATGAAGTCATAGCTTATCAATGAGATAGAACTGTAGAACTTACCTATGACACAATGTAGTATCTGTTTCAAAAGGTAAGCAAAAAAGAAAAGAAAGAAAGTCAAGTTAATATATATCAAAAAGATGAAAGCAAAAGAAAATGTGAATATTTTTAACAAGAAAAGAAAGAGAGGCACCTCAGATAATGGAACACCTCCAACTATAAAAAATTCATCCTTGAATTGGCGCTAAATTAATTTAAATACTTAATTGGATTACAAAAACAAATACTATGACAAAAATATTAACTTATTGAATTGAAAAAAATAAAAACCAAAATTGACCAAGTTTGACTTATATGGTACCTTTCCTTTCACTAAAAAAGAGCATTGTTTTAATAGAATAACAATTGACATCAATAAGTTATTTGAAATCGAAGCCCATAATATATCTTCATCAATACCCTACACACAAAAATTTATAAGAATTTCTCGTAATATAATTCGCATTTTTCGAATTAAAATAATCATACAAACCTCACGATTCAACAAATATTTCCAAAATCACTTCTTGTAATACCCTACTTTTTGTTTCTGTAAAATGTATACCAACATAAAATATGACACCAAATTTTTAAAAAAAAATTGTTGACTTTACTTTAAAGATTTATAAATAAAAAAGACAGGAAATTGTTTTTTGGGTTGAGATAGCAATGCCTTTATATCTTCGTTTGAAAGACCAGAAGAAAAGTCAACAAGAAGTGTTCATGAATTGATATGTAAGTAAAGTTATAGAATTAAAATAAATAAATAAATAAATAATAAAGAATTTGGTTTCTTGCCTTTATAAATAGAATCAAAAAGATCATAGACCCCCCAAGTAGATAAGAGAAGAATTACAGGCCCACTAAGTCCCCAATGTGTAACTTACATTGTCCCAACCTAAATTAAATAAATAGCAATATACTTTTATTTATTTTTATATTTATAAATTTATAAGTTTTTTATAAAATTCATGAGAAAAACTTACTTGGGTGAGCTATGGAATGTTCTTCTTGAAAGATTCAAACTTTAAACTTGGCTTCACTTTCAGGAATGTAATCTGAAAAAAAAAATGTTTCGAATCCTCATCATCTTTTGAGAAAAAAACAATGATAATTACTTTTAATATAATCATAATAAACTATAATAAATACCCCAGATAACTCTGTCAACTGGATATCATCAATCTTGAATGTAAATAAACTTGGAACCGGTTTAATTATAGAATGTCCAAGTAGATTTGCAAGATTATAACCCTGTAAGAAAACAATCATGTCTTAGATTATTTAAATAGCTGGATCAACATATTAAAATTAAAAAATGCAGTAAGCAATATTATTGAAATGGTAAAAGGACAAATATATCCAACCCACCGGGAAAATGGCAGCAGCCCTTGAGAGGAGGGGCAAATATTCAGGATATCGACTTTTCCCACTTAACATCCGCCATCTAATCTCATTTGTGACTCCTCCTTCGTCTACATGTTGATGTTTCCTGTTTATTATACTCAAAACTGGAGCCAAAATTACAGTTGCGCCATTCACAACCACATCTTGAATAGCACCTTCAGATCACAACAAAACCATTTATCCGATGGGAGTGCCTTCAGATCACATCTCCCACTCTCTCTTAAACAACCAACATGGTACTCTTTGTCACACTGTAAATATATTCAAACACACAAATAAATACATACACACATACATATATATATATACACATATATACATATATATATATATATATATATATATATATATATATATTAGTATTACAGTTTACCTACCTGATCACATTTCCAACGATCTTCAAATACTAATTTTTCATCAGGATCGAACCTAATTTAGAGTTTCTTTCAATCCTCCATCGTTTGAAGCGGTTACACCTAATCTCCTTCAAATCAAGGATGGTTCAATGCGATTGTGGGCGTGCTGCTGTAATTCGGACTTCAACTACTAACAATAATCCAGGAAGACCCTTTTACGCATGTCCAATTAAGGTATGTTGTAGTTGAGAATTTTGTAATCGTAACCCTAGATGGGGATATCACTGTATGCGATTATAGGTATTGTAACCGTGGCTTTTGAAATTGACAGGAACCACGTAAAGGATTTATTTCTTGGGTAGATGATGATGAAAAGGATCATGGTGACAGATTGACAATCTCCTGGCTTGTGAGGTTGAACAAGAAGCTGAAAAATGAAAATCTTTTCTTGAAAATATGTTTATTTATTAGTTGGGTATTGTTCTTGGTGATACTTGTTTACAAGTTGTAAGGTGGGGATGAGTTGTTATTGTAATGGTAAAGTCTTTTGTAATGGTTAGGTTGTAGCAATGTATGTGATGGTATCATTATCTGTAATGGTTAGGTTGTAGCAGTGAATGTGACGGTATCCTTTTCTGTAATGGTTAAGTTGTCTATGTATTGTAATGCAGATGGTTAAGATTTTTAAGATCAATGAAAATGGTGTTTATGTATTGGTTAGGTTGTCTATGTATTGTAATGCAAATGTACTGTAATGGTTGTAGCAGTGTTGTATTGATTATGTTTTAAAGTGATGTATAAGCAGCATATTGACCATTAATTAGTACCAAACTATAACAGGGCAATGAGGGTGACATCATAAGAAGAATATAACAATCTAATTTAGTACCAAACTATTATGGAAAATATAAATGTAAAAATCAGTATAAACCAAATTATTATCTACCCAATGGTGTATCGTAAGAAGAAAACATTCCATTAATTAGTACCAAACTATTACAGGGCAATGAGGGTGACAAACTAGTTCATCCAAAAGTGCCAACATATTGGCTAAAACAAGTATCAAAATACTGCCCCTATTACAAACTATTCATAAATAATGTACCAAAATATTAGCCCTATTACAAGCAGCAACATAACACAATCCATTCATATTTAAAGTAACAAAAGACTAGCCTTATTACAAATCATCAAGTGGTTGCCTTTCCTTTCCCTTTTCCTTTAACTTGTGATTGTCCACCACCCCCACCAACAATTGGTCTTTGCCCTTTTCAGGTTCTTGCATTGTGACCAACATTGTTACACTTCGTACATGTTACTGATCTATGGGCCCTCAATGTTGTGTTTCCTCTAACAAAGTCCTCCTTTTCCACAATTGATATTGTTCTCTTCTTCTTTGGTCTTCCTATGGGAACATGATGTTTTGGAGGCAACAGAGTTGTTGGTATAGCTGAATTCTCCCACATGGACCTTCCATTGATTAGACTAACCTTAAAAGAATACATCTCTTTCCAGCTTGATAACCAGTAACATGGATGCACAAATGATTCTGGTATTCCCACATCTTTGTCATTCCTCCCCATGTCCCAAATAGCAGCCACACCATGTTTGCACGGAATTCCTATTAATTCCCACCTTTTTCATGTGCAACTTTGTTGACCTACATCCATAATACACTGATCTTGCCATGGTCTAGCAACTTGATATTTTCCAGCACCACAAAATGTTGCAACATACTATTTTGCCTTACTCTTTATCTTATCCAATATTATTGTAGCTGTAGGAGTCAAAGGACCTACAACTTTCTGATGAACTCAATGCAGTTAATAATTGGTGCATCACGACCATCTTCTATCTTGCTGTTGAATGCTTCACACAGGTTATTAGTTAGAGCATCACAATGTTCTCTCCCTGAACATAAACAAATTCTATGTCAGTATTCAATTTACCTTCTTTTAAAATTATTAAGTAGAGATCGAAAGTCATTATACCAGTAAAGTGGGAGCGAGCCCAACTTTGAGGAGGTATTTGTTTCAGCCACTCATAAGCATCATTGTTAAGCTTCTTTAGTTTTTCCATTGCTTGATGAAAGTGTTGTACATTAGAGGTCGTGGCACATTCCCAAAGAAGATCCTTGAACACCTTTCCCCTCCAGTTCTTTTTCATGTTGTCGTGTATGTGACGAAGACAATAGCAATGCTCTACACATGGAAATAGTGTTGCAATCGCAGGCAACAAACCCTAGCAATAGTAACATGTTTGTATGTTAGTATAACTGCATCAATAGTATAAAACTATAAAACCTAGTTTGGATAGGTTCCAATACCTTTTTCCTATCACTCATAAACGTGAAATTGGAATTTGTTCCCAAACCTAAGTCATCACCCAAATTACTTAAAAACCAAGTCCAAGAATTCAATGTTTCTGATTCAACCACAGCATAGGCTAAGGGATATATCCCATTATTACCATCCAATGCCTTTGATAAGAAACATAAATTACCAGAAAACATTGGTCAGTTAACACTACTTAAAATAAAGAACATACAATACAAAAAGAAATAAGAAGATCTTACCACAACAGATAAAACTTGGTCTGGATTTGGACCTTTCACGAAGGCTCCATCAAGTCCAAGAAAGTCCCTTCTTCCCGCTGCAAAACCTCGCTTCAAAGCTCCAATGCAAACATAGATACGCCTGAATGTTCTTGTCTCAACAGTTGGATTCGCTTCACTTTCAACATCAATTTTAGCCGTAGTATCTGGGTTACGTGCTTGTACCTCTAAAACATAATCCCTTAACAACCTGTATTGGCTGGCATAATCTCCTTGAACATGCTTTAAAGCTTGATGCTTTGCCCTAAAAGTTTTCATATGCAAAATGTCCATCTGGTACTCACGTTGGAGTTGCTCTCGTAAAGCCCTAATAGGAATCTTTGGGTTTGTCTCAATAACTTGTACTATATGCTCTGAAAGGAACTTATAGTCACATGCTTTGACTTTCCTTGTTTGTAGACATCGATGCTCCTTCGTGTATGTCTTAACCATCCAATCTATGTCACTCTTCCACTTACTATAATATATAACCCATGGGCATTTATCTTCTTCATTAGTAGCAAGATTTGGTATAGTGCCCTTACACACAAACCTAACCCTATTCTTATCATTTTTCTCTAATTGTATTTCCCTTCTTGTTCTTATGGAATGTAGTTTCACTTGTGTCTTAAAGTCCTTAGATGAACTGAAAGTTTGAAAAATGTAGAAGGGCTCACTAACCAAAGCTACATCATTTTCATAAGCCCTCTGTATGGACCTAATAGTTTTCCTTCGCTTACCATCATTTGCCTCATCTGATGAAGACCCAGACAACAAAACCTCTGTGTTGATCACTTCTAAGTCACCTTGTTGTGTATCTTCAGGTACATTACTTTCAGAAGAACCTCCAACCCATTCTACATCCTTGTCAATGTTCAGATGGAAATCTTTCATATCCACATCAACATCGTGTATGAGATTGTCCTCATCAATAAAAAAAATCACTATCTTCACTCTCACTATCATCATTAAACTCATCATTTCCACTGCCATTGTTGTGTCCACTACCATCATAATCATCCTCATTCTCTACATTCATTTCAAATTCAATATGGTCGACCAAAGATGGTTCTTTGTCCAAATGACTATCATTCTCAACTTCTGTTAGGTCTGGAACACTCTCATGCTCAATTGGAGAGTCATTCCACTCCAAGAACAACTGTTTGGAGCAATCTGGTGGCTCTTTAATTTCAACAATTTTAACCTTACTAGGGTTCAGGGACATAGAATAAGTATGTAAATTTGTTTTCCCATGCTCAATATATACATCTATTAACTTATGGTTAGCAACATACGTACCCAGATAATGAACATCTTGATCTGAACCCAAAGCAAATAACCCAAAATCCAAATCGCCAAATGGTCTCAGGAAATGATAATAGAGTAGTGTTTCGTCTGAATCAATATGCCCAAGTTCCTCCATCATCTCGTCAATGTCGTGAATGGAAAAGGTGTCAATGTCTAGTAAATCAACATAATTTTGCTTGCCTTTGATGTACTTTCTTCCAGGGAACTTTGTAAACTGTCCACCATGGTGTAATCGGACAGAGAATATCATCGGATGTCCGGCTGTATATTCACGGAAAGATTGGTTAGTCACATTTTTCTTTTTAAGTTACTAAGTGATTGAGGGAGTAAACACTTACCATATCTACAAGCAACGTCAATCTCGTCCATGGTAGCACGTATCCTCCAAGGCGCCATCGTCGTTTTCAAATGTAGGGTTCTTTCGATCAAGGGTTTTCAAGGGTTTTCAAAGGTTTTGTCTGTGAAGCTTGTGTCTGATCACATTGATCAACGATACGTCCTTTTTTTTCTTGGCGGTATAACATTGGATATGTGAAAAGACTTTTATACCCCCGACGTGCAAGGCACGTGGGGTGTCTAACGGAAACAATTGACGGAATGTGAGAATAGGGACGTGGCGGGTTACATAATTAAAAGTTGAGGACAGTCTGAGTTAGAAAAATAAGTTAGGGACCAAGAGTGTAGTTTACACTAAACCACAGGGACCATTCACGTAATTTACTCTTTTTGTTAATTGAAAATTATAATATATATATATATATATAAATATATATATATATATATATATATATATATATATATATATATACACACATGTATATAGTTAGTGACCACTATTGGGTGGTCACTAATTGTTTTTCCCCATTTAAAGAGTAGACATGTAATTTTACGTAAGAGTAGTTAGTGACCACTCTATTTGGTCACTAAACCTCCAATTCAGTGACCAATTTTTTTTGTCAGTAAGCTTCTAACATACTGACCATTATTCTTAGTCACTGTGTAGTTAACATAGTGACAATTATTTTTAGTCACTAAATAGTTGTTATGATGTCAAAGAAACGTAGTTTAATTTTTTCACATTTTAGTGACCGAGTTAGTGACCACCACATATAATTCGTCATTAAATTTGTAGGATTACCAAAATTTAGTGACCACTTAATTTCTAGTGACTAAAATATGCTTTCACTGACCAAATTTTAGGTCGTCACTAATAATGATTTTTCTTGTAATTATATGTAATCCTTCGTATATGAGGTAATGATATATATATATATATATATATATATATATATATATATATATATATATATATATATATATATATAGTAGATCTAATATCCATCTGATGAAGATCGGTTCTTATTATTGATAAGATACAATCCTCTTAATCATAGGATATACTTGTATATATTAGTATATAATCAACATTACGCTAAACCATGATGTAGAGATTTTGTCTTTCTAACAAACCATCTTCTTGGTGAAGACAAATCCTTTATTGGTGAAAGACAATTTGGAGAACTCTCTGTGTTATTTACTTTCTATTATTTGTTTGTCTTAGATTAGTTTACTTTTGTTCTTTATACTGGAAGTGTATCTCATCGATACAAACCTTCAATTGGTATCAAATCAGGTTTTTGATACACTCAAGTAATCATGTCAACCTCTTTCAATCCAAAATCAATTGTCTGCAACAAGATTTCTTCATTGTGGAAATGGGAACATATTGCAATGGATTTCATCACCGAGTTACCTCGGTCAGCCATGGGATTCGATGTGATATGGGTTATGGTTGACTGTTTGAACAATAGTGCCCGCTTTCTATCCTTTCGAGAGAGCCCGCGACCAAGAAATTATCCAATTTATATTTGTGTGAGATCGTTTCTGAACATGGTATTCCAGTTGCCATTGAATCCAATCAACATTTTTCGTTCACATCTCGTTTTTGGTAGAATTTTCATGCGGAAATGGATACGGGATTGCATATTAGCATTGCTTATCATCCGCATACAGACGGTCAGAATGAGCTGAGAAGTCAGATAAGTGAGGACATGTTGAGAGCTTGTGTCATACATTTTGGTGGGAGTTAGGAGTCCTACCCTCCCTTCGTTGACTTTTCTTGCAACAACAACTATCACTCTAGTATTGGTGTGCCGCCTATCAACCTTCTCAATAGGAGGAACTTTTGTTCCCGAGCTTGTTGGGGAGAGGTTGGTCATAGAGTCATGGGAAGGATTGAGGTAGTTCTTCGGATGGCATAGCTAATTTAGCATATTAGGAATAGACTTCAAATAGCTCAGATTTGGCTGAAGAGTTATGAGAACAAGCTTCGATCCAAGTTAGAGTTCCAGGTCAGGCAATATGGTCTTTCTAAATGTATCACCGTAGAACGGTTGAAGAGGGGCAAGTTGGGACCGGAATATATTAGGCCATTTCAGGTGATAGCTAGGGTTGGAAAGAAATTTAGAGGTTGCCTGAGGAGCTCAACTAGATCCATAACACCTTCTAGCAGTTGTTCCTCTGTAGGATGTTTAGGTTTACGATCGTCTGAATCATATGGTGTGACATCCCCAAAATCACGGCCAGAAAAGACCGGTTTTGTTTATACTTTATTTCAAAATAAGAGTAACCTTTTAATAAAAGAGTTGTGGAATTTGTCCCAAAACAATAATATGATAAAGATTTATCAAAAGCATTTCCTTAGACATGTATTTCATTAAAAGACTTGGGATGTCATGTTCGTTACAGTACATAAGTATAAACAATACAATATAAGCCTTACTACATTATATCATATCTACAGGCCTATATCCATAATTCCTCATCCCAACACATCACAACTATGCTCGAGCGCCACTACCTTTAATACATAAAACTGAGTGGTTCAGGCTTGAGAGCCTGGTGAGCACATAGGGTTCTCAACCCACAATGAATAAGGTTATTAATTTCATCAATCATCAATAACCCGATTACATGTTCCCATTATCCTCACATTACGTCCCTAAACACCTATCATAAGGGACCTATCGTAAGGATCATCATCGGGATGGACACTACTGCTAAGGGTGTTCCTTAGCAATAAATGTCCTAAAGGCAACCACGTTGGGGATGGAGTACACCGGTGAACACATCGTTCACAACACCTACAGGTTGCGAGTCTGCCAGCGTTCCACTGGATTGTCTAGAAGAGTCCGTGGTCGTCATCTATACTTCGCTAGATGACTGGATCAACAACAACAACATCGAGGTCTCTCATCATTTTATCACACATTGTCTTGTTACATCCACCCATGTTTTACCCCAACATTATTGTAGATATAAAATACATATACGGTTTAAATCATTTAAAAATTTTATAAAACAATTCATCCAACATTAAGTATACAGATAATATGCACACATAACACGTAATATATAAAATACTTCATATCTATGTGTAAGATGAAAGTAACTATGCACTCACATGAGTAGGTGGTGACTCAGCACTCGGACAGCGCTTCGATACTCTCAAAACACTTTTCCTTCGATAAAACCTAGTATCAATTCCATTAGGGTTTAGTCTAACGTCAACCGTGACTAATTAATAGTCTAGCTATTATTATTATTATTATTATTATTATTATTATTATTATTATTATTTATTATTATTATTATTATTATTATTATTATTATTATTATTATTATTATTATTATTTTATTATTATTATTATTATATAAGCGTTAAATAACACTCAATATAACTCATAATAATAGCCCAAATAATTATTTTAAGTACCCAATAACATTACTATAATTATTTGAAAGCTATATTAAAAATTGCATAAGCGTAGCTCACTTACAGCAGATTTAAAGAAAATCGGGCTTTATTTGGAGCAACGTTTCGAAACCGAAAGACTCTTTTTCTCGGGACTCCGGGAGCCTCAGGGCTTCCTTAGGGTGCTAGGGGATCACCTAGGCTTAGGGGAGGGTTAAAACATTTAGAGAGAGAAAGAAATCTAGAGAGAGAAAGAAAATGGTGTGAAAAACTCAGAGACCCTCGCATGTATTTATAGGCGCGTAGCCTCTCGAATTACGTTGGGCGTACCGAAGGTACGTGGGGCGTAGTCTTCGGATAAGATCGCCCGCTCGGACGAGCTGTCTCGCAACATCGGAGGAGAGAAGCGCGAGGGTACGCGAGGCGTACTGACTTCAGACGTGGGGCGTATGTGAGGGTGACGCGTCAAGATCCGAAGCAAGGTCTGATCAGCGATGGACGCTGCGATTGCTGCCACGTCACCTCATTTTTGCAATTTTCGTTCTTGACTTCTAAAAATCATAACTTTTGCATACAAGCTCCGTTTTCAACGTTCTTTATATCCACGCAAAGTTGAGAACGTACTCTAAAACTTTCGTTTAGACTCCGTCGGCTAATTTTCAATTTATTTTAAAAGTTATATCATTAACAGGCCGGGACAGGATTGGTCCGTTAAAAATTCATAATTTCTTCATCCGACGTCCGTTTTTGCTCATCTTTTTCTCGTTATGCTAATTTTAATGAGATCTTCGATTCTCGTTTAGGTCGTGTCAGCTAAAAACCGCTCGTTCTA